GGACTTCAAGCTTAAAAGCATGGAGTGACTTTTGCCTCCTATTTCTTTTCTGCTTCCCTTAGACCCCTTAAGTACTGAATTAAGCCACCCAAACTTGCATTTCCCCACTACATTTACTATCATCTGTTGATCCCATTTAGAAACACCTACTTCCAAATTTTCCTAACCAAGACCTTTCATATTCATCTCTTTCTCTCCACTGGCAACACTCTAGTCTTCATCTCCACTGTGTCCTCTTTACTTTATTGTACATCTTCTAGAGATGTCCTTTTCAGCTAAATAAGCTCTCAGGACATCTAGTTCATCTTTTTCCCCCTTAATACAACGTTCTCCCCAGCTCAAAACTCTTCCTCACTATCTATTGCAACACTCTTCTAACTGGCCTTCCTGCTTCTAGTCTTGAACTCCTCCAGTCCAGTATTCACATGCATCCAGAGTGAGCCTTATGAAGCATAAATTCATTCATGTCTCTCAACTGCTTAAGGCTTGACTCTGTTTTCCAAATGCTTCAGCAGAGCATGCGGGGCCTCCTGTTTCCTTTCCTGTGTTCTCTAAACTTGCACTCTCTCCCTTCCTGCCCCACTTTGCACCCCACACTCCAGACATGATTAGCTACTTGCTGAACATCCACACATTCACACTTTTCCCCTTTTCAACTGAGCACTCTACCTAGAATGATGATCCCAATTCTGTTCACCTAGCAAACATAAACTCATCTTTCATGCCCTTAAAAATCCACTGATGTGGTAGAAACTGTCTATTATCTCCCTTCATCTCCATGAACCTTCTCTTCAATCTCTCCAGTTAGAGAGATTGGAAAACTAGAAACTATGCTTAGACACCTTAGCAGCCAAGGCTCTGGATGTGTGAAAGACTATTCTTTCTTGCTTTCTTTCTTTCTTTTCTTTTTTTTTCTGCTACCATCCAGGACATGGGATGTGAGTGTGTAGAGGCCTCATATTTTCCATGGTCTCCAGGGATGCTAACCACCATGCTATGTACCTGGAGTATAAAGATTACCAGTTATATGGATAACTGAGAAGTGATGTAATGAAAACCTCATCATTGTCTAATGCAGAGTAGATTGGAAGAGATGAAAACCCACTAACCAGGTTTAATCTGGCACAAAAGCAAGAAAAGAAACAAGGGTGCTTTGAGAGATATTTCATTGTTATCAATTGAGGGTCATTGGCATCTTTCAACATTATCACTTTAATAACATTTGCTTTCTGTTCATTGTAATATGCCAATGTCAGTTCTTAATTACAGTTTTAGGAAATTGCATACCATTTTGCATGGTTGGTTAGTATAAGCAGCTTTTTAAAAAAAATTCATTTCAGGTGTACAAAGCAATACAACAGTTATCCTTTTCACCCCTCACAAAGTGACAACCCCCTCCCTCAATCCACCCCCC